GCTGGGGAGGAACTAGCCCTCCGCTCTAAATTAATATCACCTGTGCATTTGGTTATAATGGCTTCTCATTTCTAGACTCCCTGTGGGACACTTGTGGGCGGCCTGCTTTATACATGTTTATTTAGAAACACCACCATCCGGCTGAGTCATGTTTCTGAAAAACTTTTCATTATTTGACTTGATTCAGAGATAGTTTCCCTTGAAGGAAAAAAAAATCATGGTTTATTGAAAAATGAGGGCATTTTGTAAACGAGGGACTGATGATTTGTGTGACTGCATTTGCTGTCTGTTCATTGACATGTGCCAGAGCCGAATCATTCACACAACAACCTAGGCAGGACCCTAGGACATGGTGGATGTTCAGGGGGTCCAGCTACGTTCCAAGCAATGGGTCAAAGCTAAGTTCCTGCCTGTCTCTTCACAGAAGAGAATGTATTTGTAGGCAGTTGTTGTCTGATGAAGCCATGCCAGCATAGACAATAGGGCAACTTCTCTGTACCTAAGCTGTTACATTTGCCTAGGTCCTCATTCTGCCCTAATCTATCTCTAACTTGTGCGTTTTGAATTCTGGTTACTTATAATGTGAATCTGTGACAGCTGGGGTGGCTGAATGCTGGCATTTACAAATACAGATCTAAGATAAGTCTCTTTTGCAGCGGCTACATTGTGCAAGTAATATAGACAGGGAAGCCCAACAGGTCTTTATAGGAAATTAAAGGGATCTTAGGCCAGGATCACACTTGCAGGTTGGTTGCGGGTGCGGTTATGTTTTCACACCTTCAACCACCCGCAGCCAAATCAAGCTGCTCTTGTGAGACATGTGGAGCTGCCATTCCTTCTGACTGGCACCCCCATGCATCTCAGTCCACAGCGCGTCTGCAGGTGTGGGAACTGCAGGGAAACCGCATGGTCAAACAGACCATGCAGTTTCCCTGCGGCCGCATTCCCAAAAAGGTGCATGCACCTTTTTCCTGCAGGAAACATGACACAGTAGCCCAATCAAATTAATAGGCTCTCATGCCCAAACAAACGTGGGCTGCATGGCCACAATAGTGTGAACCAAGCCTTAAAGACAAAAACAAAAAGTTCATATATTGCAGCTTAACAATCCTTAGATATGGTGGTAATGGCTTTAGTTTTCTCTTTTAAATTTTTTTCTCTTTATTTTCACCTGGTGATCTGGCCAGTAACACGCTTCCTGTTTTACCCTAGGTTCACACCTAAGCATTTGCAGAAACACACTACAGTCCATTTAACAAGATTTCCTATGGAACATGTTCACACCTCCGCATTTTCACCCAGTGCGTTTTTTGGAGAGGGTCAGGGACTTTTTTAACGCAAACAGTTGCATTTTTGGTTCTATAGACTTCAATGGAAACTCTGCAGAAAAGCATGTAGTGCATTTTTTCCACGTTTTGCATTTTGTGTTTTAAATCTGCCTAGCAAGAAAAAAAAAAAAAACAAACCGCAAATAAAAAACACGTCAAAAATGTGTCAAAAATGCATGTGCAAAAATGCAAAATGTACTACAGAAATGGATCAAACGCAAACTGCATAGGTGTGAAACCTAGCCTTAGGGTGGCTACACAGTCTATGAAAGAACAGCCACCCTTGGACAGCAGCACTGTCTAGAGAGGGTAGTGTTAGATGGACTAGTAGATTTAGATTGATTTTACATAGATGACTATCATCTAATACCAGTACCCTAACTCTAACACTTTTAAGCAGTTATAAAATCAAATATTTTTCCTTTTGTGTTAAGGGTTCTACATAAATAAATAAAAATTGATTTATAGTTAAACAGTTTGTCTCAACACTCTAACTTCCACTTTTGCTGGACAGTTTGGTGTGTTAAAGTAAGTAGAAAAATAAGAGACTAGGTTTTCGGTTACACTAATGGTTGGGGCAGTTGACCGGTTCCCTCTTTAGCTGCAAATTCATTATAGGGATGTCGGTACATGTTTGGCGGCTTTTCATCGCACCTTGCTCTCAAATTCAGCAGGCAATACTATTCACTAAAAAGCAATTGGTGAATATAATATCAGCAATAATATGATAAAAAAGAAATCTTTTACCACTTTATAAATATGCCAATCTCAGGGGCGGACTGACAACTCATGGGGCCCCCGGGCAATAGGGGATCATAGGGCCCCTGTTATCCTCGCCCAAACTCAAAAAAGCCTATGTAAAAGGTACCAGGGAAATCTCATGGGGCCCCCTACTGACCCCGGGCCCTTGGGCAGTGCCCGAGTTTCCAAATGGTCAGTCCGCCCCTGGCCAATCTATGTTTAAAAGGCATAAAACAACAGGCAGAGAAAGAGAGAGATGATAAACACATACTACATATATTACAGCTACTAGAGTTTGAGCATAGTTTTCAGTGATTATAGTTTTAGCTTAGAAAACAGAGAATGAAAGACTATACTGGCATTTTTGACTAACATATATAAAAATAGACTTTTTTATTCAATATACCCTTCCTTTAGATTGTAAGCTCCACGAGCAGGGCCCTCACATTCCTTCTGTACTGAAATGTATTGTAATTGTACTGTCTCCCTTATATTGTAAAGCACTGCGCAAACTGTTGCGCTACATAAATCCTGTATAATAATAATAATACTATACAATACAAAACATTGCACTGTCCCTAGAAAGAGAAATGAGAGAAGTAAATGAAAATTTTCCAGCATGACAATAATGTTGTTCTCTGATGCCACCTACAGGCAGTGTGTGGGCATCGCTGGAGTCAGTGTGTGGTTCTCAGCTGTGCATGATGTACATGATCGCTGGATCAGTTAGCATGAGTTCAGTACCTGTTAAACATTTGCTGCAGCCACACGACTAGAGAGCAAAAGAAAGGAATTCTATTGCATATCATGTCATCAACATCGATTATTTATGATTATATTATTTACGTTATTATTATCATTATATTATTTATCACCTGTTTTTCAGTGCACACCGTTCTGTGGCTTACAAACAGCTTTTATATTTAAATGTGTCGTCTAAGGCAACCTTTCTCAACCGGGGTGCCCAGCAACCTGGGGTGCCTTGAAGTTTCTTCAGGGGTGCCTTGGCAAATGTCTAAAAGTTGCCCAAAACTTGTATACAAGCCAACGGGTGGAACAAGGCTGCCATTTAGTTACACAAAGCCATAGGTTTTCATTGTACACCATTACAACCTCTAGCCACCGGTGTCGTGACAACCAATGACATCATCAGTTGATAAGGAGGATGTCAGCTGCATGCACAGCATCCTTGTTTGACCCTCCCCTGCCCCTCTCCATCACTGCTGGGGTCCCATTAGCTCAGTGATGGAGGGAGGGAGAAGAGAAACATTGGAATACTAGTCAGTATCAGTGTGCAAAAGTGTATTTTCTTTGGAAGAATAAATCACCTCTAATGTTGGGTGTCCTACATGTGTGGATGTTGCTGCATTATAGAAAACTATTAGAATAGTTTTTCACATTGTAGAATGAGGTGCCCTTTTAAAATGATGGTTTTAAAATGGACAGTCTAAAGCATGGGTGTCAAGCTGGCAGCCCTCCAGCTGTTGACAAACTACTAGACCCATGAGGCATTGCAAGATTGACAGTTACAAGCATGACTCCCAAAGGCAGAGGCATGATGGGACTTGTAGTTTCAAACAGCTGGAGGGCCTCCAGTTTGACACCCCTGGTCTAGAGGCACCCCATTTTAGAATGGGGTGCTTCAAGACCGCCCATTTTAAAGGTTGCCTCGAGACTGACTATAATTTTAAAGTTTGCCTTCACTGAAAAAAGGTTGAGAAACACTGGTCTAAGCTCATAATGAATGAAGGTGCCAGACATACTCAAATACAAAAGTTTCTTGCACGGATATTGGGATGTTAAAAATAAGCACAGGGGATGCAAATCCTCAGTTTATCCCTAATTGCAACAGAGTGGGGGTTATTTACTAAAACTGCAAGGTGCAAAATCTGGTGCAGCTCTGCATAAAAACCCATCAGCTTCCAGGTTTTATTGTCAAAGCTTAGTTCAACAAGCTGCAGTGAGAAGCCGACTGGCTACCATGCACAACTGCATCAGATTCTGTGTGCTCCAGCTTTACTAAACCTACCCAGTGCATCTCATGTATAGGCTTCTGAAATGGATTAGTTGCTACAAGACTTGAATGCCATACACACTTGCTAGCAGATCAACAACAGATTTATGGCTCCAGCTCAGATTAGCTTTTCAGCAGGAACTTAATTAAATACAGCCAATTGTAAGAAAGCAGTAAACTCGTCTTGAAGCAGATGTCCAAACTAAAACAATATGCAATTATGTACAATACATAGTCATATGTAGCGACACTCATAACTTAACACTTTCTTCACAGAGGCTGAAGGAACATAGGGTAACAGATATACTGAATAAAACACAAAATGGGTGATAGTAACCTAGTCATGGTTCTTATGGACATTTCAGACCTGAGCAACTTTCCATCTAGGTAGATGGTAGAAGGACTATACAATCCTCCATTATGCTTTGGACCACACTGACCTTAGGAACCAAACCTGAAGACCACCATGGTACTCAAGTACAAGAAGCCTTACTTACAAATGCTGACAGGTATTCCTGCCAAGATGCCCTGTGCAGACATATCTTAAATACGTTGTCTTCCTGTTGGCACCGCACCGGGATGTGGCTCATTCCTGATCTGTGCCTGGTTGGGAAATGGTACCAAATAGTACACCCAGCCATTGTTTTTTTTTCCTATTGCATCACATTCATAGTGCTGGTTTGCAAAGGGGTCACTGCCAACCACGCTGGTGATTGTTCAGTCACCTCCCACTTGGTGCCCAGAGGCGATAGCAACTACTGTATAAAAGACAAGACTTCCCAATTACACTGACTACCAAAGATTTACAAACATGAGGACATCAAGTAAGTCCACATTACAAGCAGTAAACCCACTTTCCTTTGCTGCCCCAGTGCCATATTATTCATATTGCCCTGCATTCCTCATAGACATCTCACCTGTTCAGATGGCATATGATATATTTAAGGGTGTCGTAGTTTGGTTCAGGAAGGTTTCCAACAAGATTTTTCATAGTCTGTATCCTCTCAGACAAATCAGGAATTTCTGTTCAGAACAAAGGAAGAATTAATGGTGGTTTGCAGAATTTAGCAGACATTTTTGTTTGTGTGAAAACAAATATTGGCATTTCAATTTTATTATTATTATTATATTATTGTATTATTATTATACAGTATTTATATAGCGCCAAAGGGTTTGCTCAGCGCTGTACAATAGCGAGGGGGACAGAACATGAGACAAAACAGTAACAATACAATACACAAGGGGTTCGAGGGCCCTGCTCTTTTGAGCTTACAATCTAGGAGGGAGGGGAAGTGGTACAGGAGGAAGTGGCTGTGGGGGATGGAGTGGTGGGAGAAGTGGAGGAGATCGGTTGTTAGGTAAGGGTGGGGTAGGCTTCCCTGAAGAGATGGTTTTCAGGGTGTACCTGAAGGTGAGGAGGGTAGGTGACAGTCTGATGGATTGCTGCAGCCACACGACTGAAGGATTCTATTGCATATCATGTCATCAACATCGATTATTTATGATTATATTATTTAACGTTATTATTAGCATTAGCATTAGGGAGTTCCAGAGGATGGGGGAAGTCCTGGAGAAGTCCTGCAGTCGGGCGTGGGAGGAGGAGAGCAGGGAGCTAGAGAGTAGGAGGTCCTGTGAGGAGCGAAGGGCACGGGTAGGGTGGTATTTGGGTATCAGGTCACTTAGGTAGTTTGGGGCGGCGTTGTGAATGGCTGTGTAGGTCAGAGTTAGTAATTTGAACTTGATGCGCTGGGCAATCGGGAGCCAGTGAAGGGATTGGCAGAGGAGGGTGGCAGATGTGGAGCGGTTGGTGAGGTGGATGAGTCTAGCCCCTGAGTTCAGGATAGACTGGAGTGGGGATAGCGTTTGTTTGGGTAGGCCAGTGAGAAGGGAGTTACAGTAGTCCAGGCGTGAGATGATGAGGGAGTGTATAAGTTGTTTAATAGTGTCTGGGGTGAGGAATGTACGTATCTTGGAGATGTTGCGGAGGTGGAGCCTGCATGACTTTGATAGTGATTGGACATGAGCTTGGAAGGAAAGGTTTGAGTCCAGGGTGACACCCAGGACTTTGGCGTGTGGGGTGGGATTGATGGTGGCGTTGCTAGTAGTAGTGATGGAGAGGATGGGGGGGGGCGCAGGCTGGGGGGAAAACCAAGAGCTCAGTTTTGAACAGGTTTAACTTGAGGAAATGGAGCGACATTCAGTCTGAAATGTCGTTTAGGAGGTGGGCGGAGAGTGAAGGGGTGAGGTGGGGGGGGTGGAGAGGTAAATTTGTGTGTCGTCGGCATAGAGGTGATAGTTGAATCCGTGGGAGTGTATCAGTTTGCCAAGGGAGGAGGTGTAGATGGAGAAAAGGAGGGGTCCGAGGACAGAGCCTTGGGGGACCCCAACAGAGAGGAAGAGAGAGGGGGAGGTGGCAGCGTTATAGGTAACGCTGAAGGAGCGTTGGGATAGGTAAGAGGAGAACCAGGAGAGAGCAGAGTCCCTGATGCCAAGGGAGTGCAGTTTTGTAAGGAGGAGGGGGTGGTCGACTGTGTCAAAGGCCGCGGAGAGGTCGAGGAGCAGGAGAACTGAGTAATAGCCATTAGCTTTGGCGGTTAGCAGGTCGTTAGTGATTTTAAGTAGGGCGGTTTTGGTGGAGTGTAGGGGACGGAAGCCTGACTGTAGTGGATCAAGGAGGTTGTTATCAGTGAGGTGGGCGCTTAAGCGATTGTAGGCCAAACGCTCAAGGAGCTTGGAAGTGAATGGTAACAGGGAGATGGGTCTAAGGTCAAGGGAGGGTTTTTTGAGTATGGGGGTGATGTGTGCTTGCTTTAGGGGGGAGGGGAATGTGCCAGTGGAGAGGGAGAGATTGAAGATGTGGGTGAGGGAGCAAATGATGGAGGAGGGGGGGTGACTGGAGGAGCTGCGAGGGGATAGGGTCCAGGGGGCAAGTGGTGAGGCGGGCTTCAGTGAAGACCTTAGTGACCTCTTCAGTGGTAACTGGGCTAAAGGAGCGGAGCGTTGGGGAGGTGGCAGTGTGCAGGGTGTTAGGTATGGTGGGGGGCAGTGCGGGTATGAGGTCGGAGGAGGGGAGAGTTGAGGGGGGTGATGGAGGGGGGGGGCTAGGTGGAGAGGTAGATTGTGAGTTGACAATGTCCGTACGGATTGCGTCAATCTTGTTTTGGAAATGATTGGCAATCTCGTGGGCGGTGAGTGAGGTGCTGAGTGGAGGTGGGGGGGGGGAGAGAGCAGGGATTTGAAAGTGGAGAAGAGCCGGCAGGGACAGGTGGAGAGGGTGTTGATGAGGGTAACAAAATAGGCTTGCTTGGCGGCGTGGAGGGAGGTGGAGTAGGTGTAGGAAGGCGAATTTTTTAACTATTAACATAGTCTTCTGTTGATTGCAATGCATCTCTTAGATAATGGGTCGCCAAACCTTCTAGACAAAGGGCCGGTTTACTGTACTTTTCATTTTCACGGGGACCGGACTGTGGCCAGTGGGAAAAAAAATTATCTTGTCTTCAGTAAATGTAAACAAGGCCCCATCATTGGTGTAAGTGGGAAGAATAGTGCTCAATTATTGGTATCAGTGTGAGAAACAGTGCTCCTTCATTGTTATGAGTGGGAGGAATATTGTCCCATCATTGGTGTCAGTGGGAGGAATAGTACCCCATCATTTGTGTCAGTGGGGGGAAGAGTGCCTTGTATCAGAGAGAATAATGCCCCAAGGGCCGGATAGGGATAAGCAAAGGGCCACATCCGGCCCCTGGGCTGCAGTTTGGAGACCACAGTCTTAGATTGTAAGAAATTGTATTGTAAGTGTAATGTTTGGCTTCATTTTGTAAAGCGCAGCGCAAACTGTTGGCGCTAGTAAAATCCTGTTTAATAAAATAATAATAATAATGTTAAAGTGTATCCAAATCCAAGAACAAAAATGTACTATATTGCAGCCTGCCAGTCCTTAGATGTGGTGACTGCATTTGTTTTCTTTATTTTTAAATGTTTTTCTTTATTTCCACCTGTTGATGTGGCCAGTAACACACATCATGTCTTAAGATAGCTAGGCTCATTCCTCCACTGTATCTATGGGGAAGAAGCATAGCCAACCATGGAAGTCAGCATTAGAAACCTGTGGAGAGGGTACTGTCAAATGGATCAGGAGATTTAGAGGAGCTATACATAAACTTAAGCCTAACTCTTGATTACACTTTTAAGCAATTACAGCAACAACTCTTTTACTTCTGGGATAAGAGCCAGTTCACACCTCAAAAACGCACTCCAGATCTGTTCTGGAATGCGTTTCTGCATATGCATATTTAATGTGTGTTTTATGTGTTACAGTGCGTTTTTGTTGTGCTTTTGATGCTTTTCCAGATGCATTCCATAAGTTTTTTTCTTCTTTTTTCCTATTTTCTTTCACTGTACTCGGGCTTGTATGTTTTTGATGCGTTCTGCTGCATCTTTTATGCAGTTTACCACATTTCAGCACAGTCTAGTGCAGGAAAAATGCAGCATGTTGTCCTTTTTTTCTGGAACTTGAATGCACTGGGACTGACTGCACTGGTGTGAACTATGCCATTGGAGACCATACAACCTACTTTCCATGCATTTTGGATGCTGAAAAAAACCTACTGGACCGTAGGTGGTGTTAACTGGCCCTAAAGGTTTTAACTATATGAATAAAAGTTGACAAATGTAAGCTGCTCATGCAGTGTGGTGCCTGTGTGTCCCGGGATGAAAAAACCCCTGTGCATACACAGGAGTTACGTCACCCTGTACCAGCCAATCAAGACAACCAAAGACTTGCCCCCAGAAGAAGTCAGGGAGAAGATGATGGCGCTGGTAAGTGATTTTACAAACATCAGACCTTTGGGTGGAGGTGAATATTGAGGACTTTAGTTTCAGTTTAAAAAAGATGAAAGCTCAGACTTACTGGCAGGATCAATAGGTTAAAAACATACTACTGGCAGGATGAAAGGGTCATAAAACTTTGGTACAGTGAGGAACAAAGACTGCTCTGTTAATGCTCATTACAGACTGCCTCATATACAGTATGTTCATTTTTTTTGGCCTATAGTCCTACTTTAACCTCTTGGCGCCAGCCTCACGCAAATGTGCGGCCTCCTGGTGTCTGGGCTTTGATGCCGAGCGGCCGCATATATGCGTCCAATTAAGAAAAACATATGTGCTGAGAGTGCGCACCATGCGCACTCTCTCTCAGCACACATGTCCGGTACTCATGGAAAGGTCCCGATCTCCTCTTTCGATCGGGACCTTTCCCGATCATGTGACCGCAGTGACGGGTGAATCACGGCGATCACATGACCCTAAAGCCCCGCCTCCCGGCTTCTAAAATCCTTAAAGGGTCTGGAGGCTCCGGCGCCAAGGGGTTAATTTCTAGTCAGAAGTTTATCTGTATCTTACTTAAAATGCACCTCAGACAAGGAATATTTAAGCATTTACACATTTGTAAAGAAGAATTCCAGGCAGAAACTTTTTTTCCCATGCAGTGGGGCTGCGCCCCCAGTTAACCCATGCAGTGTGGGCACAGTCGCACTGCATGGAAAAAAATAACATTTCTGACTGGAGTTCTGCTTTTACAAACAGAAAAAGAGCTTTTAAACAAGCCCGCACTGGTCTCTCTACCCAGGGCTGCTGTTAGAAACTACAGGGCCTCATCCCCCAAGAAAAACAGTTTATTATGCTTTATTTATGAGTGAACACAGTGAGTGATCAGTACCAATCGGTCATTGTGTTCATTCAGGAAAGGAAGAGGCTGGTAAATATGACTTATTTACCGCACCATTCCCCCACTCTCCCTGAAGAATCCTATTATGTGCTTGCAGCTGCTGGTGGGAAGGAGAGGAGGGGATTTGGCAGCAGTGCGGGGGTGGGGGCACACAGGGGAAAATGGCAGGGTGAAACATATGGTGCACAGGTAGGGTGATGGGTGCAGCGAGGGGGGAAATTACTGGAACCGATCCCCTGTGTGGCTTTCTCTGCAGGATGCGAAAGCAAGCAGAAGGGATAGGAGAAGAAGCCAGCTT